CACATAAACTCATATTATTTTCTAATATATAACTATTTTATATAAAAATCAAATTCAATGATCTTAAAAGCGAAGGATAAACCTCAAAATTTACGAATATAATGAGTGGGAATATAATGCTTATCTATCATAAAACCATATGAAATATCAATTTTTGCTTTACACCTAATTTTTGACGACAATTAGCAAAAAATGTTAAATGTTAACACTCAGTCCATTTGAATATGAAAAATAAAATTGATTTTGATTAAATGTTTTTATTTATCATGCAATTCTTCTTGCGACCAAAGATTTGAATAAAATTTCAAAAAATAAGATAGCTTAAAAATAATATACGGTAGTGTTTACTAATAGATGAATAGTATATAAATTCTATTAAAATGGATTTGATCCAAAAAAATATAAAACCAAAAATAATTGTTATAATTTAAATGAAGAAGTAATTTAAAACGATTTTATTTATGATCAAATTTTATATATTTTTTTGGATCAAATCCATTTTAATAGAATTTATATACTATTCATCTATTAGTAAACACTACCGTATATTATTTTTTAAGCTATCTTATTTTTTTAAGTTTTATTCAAATCTTTGGTCGCAAGAAGAATTGCATGATAAATAAAAACATTTAATCAAAATCAATTTTATTTTTCATATTCAAATGGACTGAGTGTTAACATTTAACATTTTTTGCTAATTGTCGTCAAAAATTAGGTGTAAAGCAAAAATTGATATTTCATATGGTTTTATGATAGATAAGCATTATATTCCCACTCATTATATTCGTAAATTTTGAGGTTTATCCTTCGCTTTTAAGATCATTGAATTTGATTTTTATATAAAATAGTTATATATTAGAAAATAATATGAGTTTATGTGATATTATTTTTCAGAAGATTTCATTCTATATGCCTATGAAAAGTACTCTCAAAACTAACTTTTTCCTAATTATAATTAAATCTAGAATATTGTATTATGCTTAGTATTATTTCATTTTTCTCATTCAATTTAGAATTTACAAATGTCAAAAAATTGAGAGCTGTCACTTTTGATGAATTTCTGTTTATTACAAAAGTCTGCTAGAATAAAAGCAGAGTTACAAAGATATGGTTGGAGAGTTTCGAAGAAGTTTAAATATAGGAAGGGAAGACCCATAAAAGTCTATGACAAATTGTCTGGTCTTCGCTACGAAATGGATTTGGAAACAGCACGTGCCAATTATCCAAACAGACTAGAGAGGTTAGAAGAAGAACGTCTTATGGATATGCCTTTCGATGTTAGTGAACCTCAAGTTGAAGGACACGACGGCTTTGCCAGATTCTACTGGAAACATGACGAACAATTGCATCCTTTGAGAAGGAAAAAAGGTAGTGCAGAGGATGGTCATGCTCCCATGGAAAGAACAAGATATGCATATGAAAAGTATCGTGAAGTTAGAAGTCAAATTACATCTGGTCGAACCTTTACAGTAAACTTTGACGAAGGAAAGAACAAAGAAGGCTTCATGGGTGTACTTGCTGCAATTCAAGACGGAAATAAGAAAGGACACAATCTCAGATTGACCATAAAACAGATTTGGATGGTCACATTTACTATGCACATGGCAATGAACAAACAGCCGCAAAACTTCTTGACGCTTTCAAGACTACAAAGAGAGAACAAATGGTTGACTCCGACTCAGACATTTTGAATGCAATTGAAGGAATTGCAAGTGTCAAGTTCGAATGTACCAACCTAACCCTCAAGCAGTCAGACAACATGCTGGATACTTCCCGTTCATAAATAAGTCTGACATTGACTTGACAAGGTATGGAATTTACAATTCAATTGAAACATTTGTCAATGAACCTTGTATTCTTACATGTCTCAGGAACTCTGGTCTTGTTACAGATGAGAAGATGAAGTATCTTGAGTCATGTGTGAAGACAGGTACATTCTCAGAGGTCAATTGGCAAAAATTGCACCGTTGGCAAATGTCAATATCCGAGTCAACATACCTACAGCTAAAGGTTCTTCACATGACGACTATGTTGTTGAGTTCAATTTACCATGGTTGAAGATTGTAATTGTCCACAACCACTTCATGTTGAACGAAGTCTTACAAACCCATTGTTCGGAAAAGGCAAGTGCAACATTGTCAGAGCTGTAAACATTCTTTTCGAGAAAGGTTTGTTGGAACCAATTCCAGATGACAAGCTGACAGAAACTTTTGTACCAAAAGACGAAACAAACTTTTCACTGTTAGCAAGACCAAAAGTTGTTCCAGACAAAGTTCTAGTACAAAAGAAGTACACAATTCCACAAGGAGTTGGTATGTTCGGATACCAACCTGAACCAGAAGAACTTCCAATGAGGTTGCAAGAACTTCAAGATGCTATAAATAAACTTCCATTGAGACATCCAATTGACGTCAAATTGTATTGGAGAGCATCTGAGTTAGGTCAGAAGGTTTTATATGAAACAGGTTGCTTCGACGACGTTTATGAGATAACAGGAGAAGTTTCTCAGAAGATAAGAGACTCACTTGAATTTCCACAAACTGGACCAATTGGTTGCGACAAGTTCGACTCAAACGAAAGATATACTATGTCGACCTTAACGCTGCGTACATGAGGTTTGTCCAATATATTCCGACTGGAATTCCAAACGAAGATGGTGAGTTCCCGGAAGGAACTATACAGTTGGAAAAGTCATACAACAACTGTATGATATTAGGAAAGCTTCAAACCCCAAACTTGCAATGACACTCAAATTGCTTATGAATTCGACATGGGGATATTCCATTAAGAAACCTCAAGAGATGAAGAGTAAACATTATGAGAAGGTCGACAACTTTGTTGAAAGGTTTTCTCCTTTTGTTTTGAAGTACGAATTCACTCAAGGTCAAAGTGGCTTAGTAACCACATTAAAACCTATTGTCGAACATTGGTCTTACTCTCAGTTCGCAAAGGCAGTCCTTGACAACTACAACAAATTCTTCTCCGAAGTCAAATCCAAAGTGAAGGTATACTATGAGAACATTGACGCACTCATGACGAACGAAGAAGGGTACAACAAACTCATTGAAATGGGCATGGTCGGTGAAAAGATGGGTCGATTCAAATTGGACAAAATTTTCACCGAAGTTCATGTCCTCTCCAAGCGTAAGTACTGGGGCATACTTGAAGACGGCACAGAAATAAAACATTGCATGAAATAAAAACGTTTTTTAAAACAATATATTTTTACATATATTAAATGCTTCAGGTTGAAAAACAAAGAACAAAAGTAGCAGATACAAAACCGTTAGACTATATCTTTACAAATGCTGGTAGGACTATTTCAGATGAAGAAATTTCATCCCGAGCATACAGGTTTGACTATCCAATTCGTTGGCTTCAAAGTCCTTCAGATGCAAAGGCAATAGGATTTAGAAGAGTTTTGTTTTCAAATAGAACTAACGCATTTATGTTCGCAGTATATTTTCATGGGCAGTATAAAGGTTCTGATGGTCTAAATAGACAAATTTGACGAAATGAGAATCTTTACAGTTCGTTCAGACGAAAGTCTTGAGAAAACTCTAAATGACTTTCAAACTCAAATGAACAAATATTATTGGGAATTTCAAGAAAAATACGACTCTTTACTAAATGGAACATACTATCTGAAACTAGAATATGACAAGATGAACTCCACCGTTTCATTTCAAAAGATTGAAATTAACCCTCCAAGAGATACAGAGTTTTTATTTTGGAAAGTAGACAAACGTTCTTGGGCACAATTTCTTCGGTTACTAAACCAGAACGAACCATTACCACCAGATGGTCCATTTAAATTTATACTTCCACCAGCAGATTTGACAGTTTATAGAAACGTGTTTGACCCTCAAAATGTTATGTGTCATGCAAGTTTAGTTCAAGCAACAATAGTTTTCTATGTATTGGTAAGGACCTTTATGACATTGCTTCTAAATTCTACGAACCACCTAGTAACAGTTTCTCTGACTTTCAAGTTTGGTTCACACAAATGGTGTGCAACATATTATTCCATTGTACTATGACTTTTATCTCGAATTGTCTTTCATATATAACTACGGAAAAGTGCTGAAAAAGTATTGAAAAATAATGTTTATGTTAGCATGTTAGATCTAACACGTTTTCTAACCACTTTTCTAACATCGTAGAAAACTCATGAAAACAATTTATTTTTGACACTTTCACAAAAAACATAAAAAAGTGAAGTTAAAATGAGATGTTTACTGAACTGGTTGGATGTCGCCTTCTGTAGTTATGTAGAACGGCTGACCAGAGTAGTGGAACAGTGCTCTGAGAATTTGTATAATTCGTGGAATTGGACTCTCTCTGTTTGGAAGTTGTATCCAAGGACGCTTGGCAAAGAACTTAACAAGAGCTTCTCTTTTGGCGTCCTTTATGTCGTCGAAAGGAGTGTTTTCTGGTATTTGAATTGGAATTCCGGTCGAAGTCTCGAGATTCAAGGCAGCCCTTCCAGAAATAGTGGTGAACTTGACCTTGGGCTTCATGACCTTGCGCAAGTACTGCTTAACAAGCTCGTTAATTTAAATTAGGTAAACTGCCTCATCTAATGGCTCGATGTTGTCCATTGCTACTGTCAGTAAAAGTACTGCTACTGTCAGTAAAAGTACTGCTACTGTCAGAAAAAGTACTGCTACTGTCAGAAAAAGTACTGCTACTGTCAGTAAAAGTACTGCTACTGTCAGTAAAAGTACTGCTACTGTCAGTAAAAGTACTGCTACTTGCAGTAAAAAGGAAAATTTGAGAGGGTTTTCGACGATAAAGTACTGCTACTGTCAGTAAAAGTACTGCTACTGTCAGTAAAAGTACTGCTACTGTCAGAAAAAGTACTGCTACTGTCAGTAAAAGTACTGCTACTGTCAGAAAAAGTACTGCTACTGTCAGTAAAAGTACTGCTACTGTCAGTAGCAGTACTGCTAGTAGCAGAGATTTTTATCGTTGTGGTCCGACGGTTAAGCCACAAACGAATGTCCGACGTCCCACCAACCGAGTCCAATCTCAATCCAGAAGAACCGAAAGCACCAGCCCCTGCACCTCAGTTCCAGCAATTCCAATCTCAATCCAAATTACTACCAATTCCAATACAAATCGAAGAGAGACCAAGAGTTCGAAGAAGGTCTGAACCGCTTACGCAAAGAGTATGCTACAGCTCCAACCCTTGGTTGTTCCAGCAAGCTCCACCCCAACAATTCCAATTCCAATACAAATCGAAGAGAGACCAAGACTTCGAAGAAGGTCTGAACCGCTTACGCAAAGAGTATGCCACAGCTCCAATTGAGAGAAAGTTGTTGCTAAATTCAGTAAAAATAATGTTTAGGTGAAGAGGTGAGATCTCACCCGTTTTCTCACCTGTTTTCTCACCCTCTTGAATTTTCATGAATTTCCTTAAGATAGAAAAAATAAAGTTAGTTTTATTTTGTATTTTTTTGTATGTAAGATATGATTTCAGGGATTTTTTGACGAAGTGTTACTCTTCACTTCGTCAAAAAATGACAGTTATATAATGAAAAAGTGTCATTTTTTTGTATTTGACGAGAATGTCGGGTAGAAGGTTAGATCTAACCTCATTTCTCACCTGTTTTCTCACCTCTTGAATTTTCATGATTTCATCGTAAATGTTTTGTCAAGACTTCTTCGTAATGAGTGTACATGTTTTGTCAAAACTTCTTCGTACATGCTTTGTCAAGACTTCTTCGTACATGTTTTGTCAAAACTTCTTCGTAATGAGTGTATATGTTTTGTCAAGACTTCTTCGTAAATGTTTTGTCATGATTTCATCGTAATGAGCGTAAATCAGACAAAAATATATTTTAGGTGAAGTGGTGAGATCTAACCTCTTTTCTCACCTCTTTTCTCACCTCATGAATTTTCATGAATTTTCCCGAAATAAAAAATAAAGTTAGTTTTTTATAAAATATTTTTTTTATTTTGTATGTAAAGACATATATGACAAACATTGAGTTTGAAACAGTTAGAAAGATAGACAATGACACCAAATTGGTTAGAATAGGTGATTTAAACGTAAAGATACTCAAAGAAATACAACAAATATTCTTTGTCAGACATTTTATCTCCATCTGGAAAGAGACCGATGGACTGGGTTAGAATTGCTTCTACTCAAGAAAATTTTGACAAGAATATCCTGAGCTTATGATACAGTAGCATTTCATGGAACAAGAGCATATCTTATAGACAAAAGTCTTATACCAATAGTTTGTTTATGGTTAGACCCAGTTGTTGGATATAACTTCATAACATATGGTTCATTCGATACGGAACGTTGCAGTGAAGGCTTACTTTACATCGTTCAGATCAGAAAACCAAGGACTTCAACACAAAAAAGATATAAGATAGGAGAACACTATAATATAACTC